GACTGGGCGCTGATGGAGGTGAGAAGCCTGCGGGGGCGCCCCACCCAGATGGCGGGGGTGCCTGGCTGTGGCTTCATAACGTCTGCGGGGTCAGTACCCGGCCATCCGTTCGAGCTCCCCTTGTACACCCAGCCGCCCCCTGTCCCGGCCCCTGCCCCACAGCTTGTTCTGTGTCCCACAGGCCTTGGTGCCCCATGGCACCACTGTGTCGGTGACCATTTGTCATCCATCGTGGGGGGGGGTTTGAACTCAAGCTGGATTCCTCTGGAGGTCCTAGAAAACACCCATGTTTCTCAAAGTCAGGCTGACTTTCTCCGGGGGCGCCAGAGCCCTATGGTCCCCGGCACCAAGACTGACCAGTCCTCGGACCAGGTCCCAGATTGGGCTCCTGTGGGGCTGGACCCTGGGGACAAGGAAGAGCCTGAGGGTCGAACCTGCCCGCAAGGGTGGCACTGGCCTCAGGAGGCCTGCTGGGGCCGGTGGCTGCCAAGCCACTCTCTGGGCACCACAACTTTCTAAGGACCTGAATTGGTCCTGACGGGCCTCAGCTGAGGCTGAGGGAGCTCAGGAGTGTCTGAGGAGAGCAGACTGCAGCCAGGCCGCCCCCAGCAGGGCCCCCCTCGGCCCCGGGGCAGCCAGGCGCTGGGCCTGTCCGGCTCGCCCCATGCCCTCCCGGGCTCCCTCTAGTCTCCATGGCCGCTTCCCCCTTTCTTCGTTTCCATCCTCGGAGTAACACGAGGACAGTGACAGCCAGCGGTAAGTACGCCTGGCACCTGGCTCCGTTCCTTCCATTTACCCACACGGCCACCCCGAGCGTGGGCAGCCTCGTGCCTGGGTGGTCGGTCTGCCCACAGTAGCAGGCGTCTGGCTCCAGGAGCCCGTGCCCGCCCTGTCTCCCCCTGCCCCGCATTCGCCAGCCGTGCCGAGCATCAGGGAGGGGACAGGCTGATGGGCTGCCTCTTCCTCACGGTAGAGGGGGCTGGAGGGCCCGCACCCGTCTCTTCGGGAACCCGGCTGGGTCCGGGGGCCTGTATAGCCCTGGGAGCTGAGTGCAGCCTGTCTCCCCCGGGGCTGTCAGTGTGTGGGTTCCCGGCGGAGCCAACTTCTGACAGGACATCCTCCTCCACTGCCGGCCCGAGGGCCACTAGAAGCTTCCCGGTCCCCAGAGGGATGGAGGCTGGGCTCTGCTACCCCACTAGCGCCGGCCAGCCTTCACCAGCAGCCCAGCAGCCGCCCTCCATGCACTGCTAGAGATGGCCTGACACCTCATCACCCCTTCAGAAGGAGCTTCTGCATGGGGGTCTGTGACGCATCCTCCCGGGAGCCTGATGAGAGAGAAGTTGCCCCCCCAGAGAAGGCGGGAGAGAGGCGGCCAGGGGTGGAGGAGGCTTGCAGAGAGCTGGAGTGGTTTGATGTGAGGGAAAGGCCAGGGCCATGGGAAGAGGGGGACAGCAGGGATGGTGGGGGGATGGCTGGGGGAGGGGGGTAGGTGTGGTGGGGGAGGGGCAGGAGTGCCGCACACCATACGCCCGAGCAGGCGGGGGCTCAAAAGCAGCCTGGACCGCCTTCCAGGCCACGTGCCCACGCTTGCGAGTTCACGCCAAGGTGCTGTGCGGCCCCGTGGCCTGCCAGCGCAGGGCTAAGGGCAGGCCACTGGCGAGCCTGGGGAGGCAGGAGAGTTTTTCTCGACGGTGAGCAAGATGAAAGGGGAAGGCTGTGGTCCTGTCCTGCCTCGTGATTCCTGCCAGGGTGCTCTCGAGTCACGTGACTGCGACACCAGTGGATCGGGAGGGTCCGTTTCCTCCCCACCGGCCCGGGGCCGTGTCCTGGGAAGGGCCCAAGTGGGCCACACCCTACCGTGTGTCTCGGCGTCCCTGTGGGACTGGGGCGGAGGCCAGGCAGCCCGACCCCAAGCCCATGGGCAGAGGCGGGGCCTCCCCGACACCCACCTGTGTATTCAGGAAAGCAGATGGTCAAAGGTGACTTCTTGATCTTCTCACCAAAGAGATCTTTCTTGTTGAGGAAGAGAATGATGGAGGTATCGATGAAGAACTTGTTGTTACAGATGGAGTCGAAGAGCATGAGAGACTCGTGCATGCGGTTCTGCAGCCCCAGGGGAGGGAAAGAGAGCCAGACAGACAGCGGGAGGGACAGACACGGAGACAGGGAAAGAGAAGAGAATTAGGTTTTGAGAGGGAGGAACGGGGCTGCTCAGCAGCTCAGGCGGGGGCTCCTGGGCCCCCAGGGCTCCTTCGAAGGTGACAGTAGAAACGCGACCTGTCACAGCACAGGGCCGGCTCAGTCCGGTGCGGGGCCGTCTATACCGTTGTCCCGGGGCTAATGGCAGAGACTGGACTGAGACCCAGCCACTGGATGGTCTCCCCGCATGGGCGGGTGTGTAGGGGTCGGGGAGGTGGCGCTGGACGAGCCCGCGAGCTGGGTTGCGGCACTTCCGGCCCAGGTCTTTCCTCTGGGGCCCTATCTGTGGGTGGAAGTGTCCTCTGGGAGTGGTGAGGGACGGAGGGGAAGTCACTCCAGGCTCTTGCCAGCATCCTTGCATGCCACCACTGTGGGGAGATGGTCCTGCCCAGGCAGGGGGCCCTGGGGGTCTGGCCAGACTTCCTCTGGCTGGGCCAAACTCAGCCACGTCTGATGCTGCACGGAGTTTGGCGCAATGCAGACGTGAAGTACCGTCTTGCACACACGAATCTGTTTAGCAAAGGAGTGACTGTGATGGCCACTCCCAATAGAGCAGAGCCTGAGGGGGGCGGCCCTTTGCCCTGGGCAAGGACTGGCTCATTCTACAGTGGGGTGTCAAGCACATAAACTTGGGTAATGTTTCTTGGCAATGCAGGGGAGCACGTGTCTCTGTGAGCGAAGCCATTTCTGCATGGGAAGGTGGTTCCTCCATGGAATGTACCTTCCCAGGGAAAGGGACAGCCACTCATTTTCCCCAAGGAGCCTATCCTCGCCTTGGGAACTTATCCGTTCCAAACCCAGCTCCATGGGTAACTCCAGGCCACGCTGTTCCTCTCTAGTAAGAAGACTGAACAAGTCATTGCAGAGAAGTGGCATGGGGGATCAGCTCCTTCCCTGGGGCCCAGCAAGCAGCTGCAGCTGAGTACATGGTCAGTTGAGTTGCCGTGGCCGCCCTCCTCTGGTGGAGGGCCGGTGAGGAAGATGGTGGGGTGGCCTCTACTGGTCACTGGGCCCTGCTCTGCCGAGCACTAAGCCCAGCACTTGACCTGCCTCACCTGATTTAGCCTCATCAACCCTTAGGGAATAGGGAGAGCCGACAGAGCGGGGGCCCAGAAGAGCAGAGACGTGGACCCGGCTCTGGGCCAGAGAGAGAGCTTATGACACCAAATGGGTTTGTCCAGCTAAGACGAGCGGTCTGTGGCCTTTAGAGGAGTAAGTCCTAAGAGGGTCATGACCAGTTCTGCGCATCTTCAGTCCCTCTTCCATGACGGCATTACTACCCCAGTGACCTGTAAGGGTCTCCCAGCCCCAAACCCTACGCTCACGGCTCAGGCCAGTTGCTGGAACACGAGCTCAGCTGCCCCTCGGGAGCCTGCACACTGGCGTGGTTCTCAGCTCCTCTGCGAGCTGCAGGAAACGGCCTTGGCCTGCTCTGTAAACTAGTTCAGTAAACACCTATGATCCTGTTACCCTCCCAGCCTCAACCGGCACATTCTGTTCTCAGCCCCCCAAAGTTGGCCCACGGCCTGCACAATTGCACTCAGGGAGGCTCCCCGGGGCCGTTCAGATGAGGACGGGTGGAAGCCCAAGGCCGAGGGCTGGGAACACTCAGGCTCCCGGCGCCACCTCTGGGGGCAGAGAACAGATGCTCCGCCACCCAAGGACTCACTAGGAAAGGGCCTCCCACCACACAGAGCCGCCTGGTCCCATAGCCACTCAACCAGGAGCTGGAAGCCCACAGCCAGAGGCTGGCTCCCAACTCCACTGCACCACTGTCCCGAGCATCGTTTTGGTCTTCAGACACTGGGCGATGTGGCGGGGACATACGCTGGAGCACTCTCAGGACCAGAAGGGGTCACCAGGGTGACCTGAGCCGAGTGGGGACTGCGTCCCTTTGGCACACGGGCTGGCCCGAGAGCTTGCAGGAGAAGTGGGGGCCAGCCACTTATGCCCCACACGTCCACTCTGCTAAGGCTCAGCCCCTCCACGGCCTCTCTGCCCAGGGCTGCAGGGCACGTGCATGCACCTGCTCTGCCCAGCAGCACCAACTGGATTTGCATGCAGGGGCCCCTGCTGGGCTGCTGGGAGGCCGTGGGAACGACCAGCTCAAGTCCTGCTCTCTGAGAGCTCACAGTCTAGTTGGGGGGACAGTGCGCACACTGAAAAGGTCTTCAGGGGGAAGAGGCGCTCTGCAGGGTTGGACCTGGTTTTGTGGGGAGGGTCTGGGAGGAGGGCTGATCCTGGAGGCTCGGGGAGAACCGTGGGGAGGGGAGGCGCCGGCACTGAGCCCCCTCCACACCCGCAGGCCCGACCGCCCTCCCTCCGCACGCGGACCGGAACATACCCCCCGTGAGCCGGGAGCCCTGCTTGTCCCTGCGAGCTTCCCCGGAGAAAAGAGACGCGGGAATATATGCCAAATGGCGAAAGCAGCACTTGAGAAAAGGAAAAGAAGCCAGAGATCACGACCAGGTGACGGCCACGCCCTCCTGCCCGCGGTCGCCTTCCTGTCCCCCCCCATTCCCTGGCCTGGGCAGTGGGGGGGCCGCAGCAAGCACACTAGGACAAGAAGGTGGGCTTGTGACCATCCCAAGGGGTCAGCGGGGGCAGGCCAGCCGCCCCCAGAAGCGTGTGCCCGTTGGCCGGGTGGCCCGCAGGCCGAGCACGGGGACCTGTGTCATGTGGGTGCTGATGCGATGCATCATGCTGGCGCTGGAGAAAGCTGGCACTCTTTATGAACGGCAGGTCACTAATGAAGACATTACGGCAGTCAGTAAATTCTTACAGTAACTAGAGATTTATTAAACCAACAAGTCACTCTTCTTACAAAATTAGTTAATGTGGGGTGGGCGGCGGCGGGGCTGGGAGGTGGCCGGCTCCCCTCTGCCTGGGACGGGGGTGGGGGTGGGAGCGTGGGGAGGAGGCCTGGGAGGGGTGGGGATGGGCCAGGAGAAGAGCGGAGGCAGGAGGGATGGGAGTGGGGAGGCGGGGAGGGAACGGGTCACAGCAGTGCTGTAAGGGGTGTGGGCTCCCGCGGGTGGTCTTGGAGCACTGGGCCCGGGGTTGAGCGCTTCCCCTCCAGAGGAACCCCCTCCCCATCTCGGATGAGAGGGCCCAGGACTTAGGCCTCTTTCTGCTTCTGTCCCCGCCTGCCCCTCCCTTGACAGGGGTGTTTGGCTGGCGCGGGGTCTGTCGGAGCCCTGAGCCCCCGGAGGGAAGGCCTCTGGGCAGGGTGGCCCAGGACCGGCCTCACTGGGGAGTCGGGGGCGGCAGCGCCCAGCGTGGCCCTGTCCCCTGGTCTGTGTGTTGTGCCCTGGGCTGCCGTAGGTTTGGGCGCTGATCGGGGGCGGCGGGGGGGGGGGGAGCCGTCTGTGGGTGCTTGCCCCTGGCACCCCAGATTGAATCCATGGTGGCCACAGAGCCGGAGCCTCGGGCCTCCGTGCCTGAGAGCTGCCAGGTGCCCCTAATAACTCCCAGAAGCTCGGAGAAGAACAGATGCAGCCTGACTTCCCAAAGGGGGCTGGACCGAGCCCCACCTGGTCTGGAGCAGGGGCTGAGTCGGGACTGTGGCCGGTTTACTTACCAAGAGGGTTGAGGAGCACTCTGAGTGAGGCCAGGGGGAAAGAGGGAAGGTCAAGAAGGGAGGCGGGGGTGGAGGCAGGAAAAACTTGCAGAATCGGCCACTGCGCCACTGCGGGGTAACTGTGAACACTCCTGGGGGCGGCCCCTCCTTACTGGGCTCATGCGGGCAGAAGGGCCTCGGAGACAGGACTCCCCAGGACTCCCCGGCCTTCCCTGTTGGGGGTTTACAGACAGCCCGCCTACGAGGGGTCCTGTGGCGGGTGGGGGGGTGTCTCTTGCTACTGCTGCACCCCTCCCCCGCCGCGGGAGACTCACTGTTGCCCCGGATGGTCGCGGAGGGCCCGGGTATCTCCGGTTCCCGCAGCGGGGTGTGGAGCTGGGCTGCCGGGAGAGGCGCGGTGGCCTTCTGCCTGGGCTCTGCCAACATTCCTGGGTCGGAGCTCACGGCTATAGACCCCGAGAGGGGAGGGGAAGGGGCCAGGGCCCCTGGCTTCTAAAGCCTCCATGGAAAATGTCCCAGGAGCCCAGAGTGTCACAGCTGTCCTGCTCGGGCCTGGGCCAGAGCCCACACCCTCCTCAGGCCGGAGTGCGCAGGTTCACCTGAGCTCCTACTTGGGCCTTCGGCAGGGCTCCCTCCAGTCAGGCCGGGAGCCCAGGGGGCCTGTTGGTTCTCAGCAGGACGGCCTGCTCGGCCAAGAGCGGGCTTTCGGGAGGGCGGTTGGTGCGGGGCACAGACCTGGCCCACAGGCATCTAGGCGGCGCGCACAATCGTCATGGGTCTGGCAAAGGTGCTCCTCCTAGAAATCCAGGTGTCCTTAGCCCGCTCAGTTAGAGCCATTCACAGACTTTAAGCATGGTCCTTTTGGGGACATGCATGTGGCCACCATGGACAAGAATCTGGTCTCTCACACTCTCAACCTCTTCCCCTCACACCCACACCCGCGACGGAGCCAAAACTCGTGTCCCCCTCTGTCATCCCTCCCCACTGTGGCGCCACTGGGAACGACGTGGATGGGAGCTGCAGCGGACGGGGAGGGACCTTCATCCCGGATACCCTCTCCTTGTGGGTTCCCACTAGACAGCGGGGACCCCTGCGGCAGGGAGGGTGGGACAGCGGGAGCACTGCAAGCAGCAGGGCGGCCCATGGGCCCAGAAGGACAGGAAGGCCCCAGGCGGCCAGCGGCTCCCACCTCCAGGGCCACAAGCCTCAGAGGTGGGGCTGGCCAAGCGACCCTCCTCTGGGGGCTGCTTGTGAGTGTGGGCTCCCGGGGCGAGCTGGGGGCGCAGCTGACCACCCCCCCCGGGTGGGAATGCCGGAAAATACCCGCTATGTCTTCGCTCTTGGGCAGAGCGGCCTCACTGGCCCCGGCCGCTTGTGGCAGGGCTTGGAGACCGCCGGCTCTCGGCGCTGTCCTCTGCTGCGCCAGCGCCCGGGGGCCTCGCACACAGCAAGGCAGCCCTGTGATTTGCCCCGAGGCGGCCGGGGTGCAGCGCTCAGAGCGCAGTGACGGAGGGGGCTTACCGGTGGCGCCCCTCCCTGTAGGCATTTGGCATGGGGGTCGGGGGGTGCTGCCCTGGGCCTCCTGTGCAGCCAGAGCTCCGGGGCTGCTGGAACCGAGAAGCCCAGAGCTGTTGCCACGGGGCTCTTCCTGGCTCTGGGGCAGCCCAGGGGGCCGCACTGGGTGTCCAGGAGCAGAGCCCAGAGTGGAGGCTGGGAGAGCAGAGGGCTGGAGGAAGGAGCCAGGGGCCCCTCCAGGGGCACATCTGATTCCCTAGCCTGCCATATGAGCCCCCGGGGCCTGTCTGTGGCCTTGGCTGGTGGCACTGGCCCCCCGAGGCTCCCGGGTGTGAGAGAGAGGCGTGCTGATTGCCCGAGGAGTTCCCAGAGTCACCCACCCCTGCCTGCTCAGGAACCTCTGTAGCAAAGCCCCTCCCAGGCCTCCTAGGACCCTCTCTCCAGAGAAGGGGGCGCTGGGTATGCGTCCGAGCCAGCCTTGGCCCCTTCGCAGTGCACATTCCAGCCTCGGTCGGCCCTCCTCTGCCTCTGAGGGCTGGCCGGACAGCACAAGCTCTGCACAAAGTCTGGTTTCTTCACCACGGCCTCGGTTGCAGGGGCCACATCAATACCTCCCCTGGGCCTCCCCAACCTCAAAACAGGGGGCCCGAGGGGCCGTGCCTGCCCTTGCTGAGCTGGATTCACTGTGACTCGAGAAGGAGAAGCGCGTCTACTCACATTCTGGAGCCGCTGCCTGAGACCCAGGCGCTGGGAGAAAGTGAATGGGTCACCCTCGAGCCTGCAAGCACTGGGTGAGGCCCCCATCCCAGACAACACCGGAGCTGGGCGCGGGACTCGACCCCTCCCACCATCCACCACGTGCCTTTGCAATACCCGTCGTCGCAGAAGCATTTCCAGAGCTGTGAGGAGTCAGGGATGGGGTTCCTCCACGGGTGTGCAAGGAAGGATGGTCCAGATTAGAAAGGGCTTGTGCCTGGGGGCTGAGATCCAGGCAGAAGGAGGAGGGAGGCACTCGCCAAGGTTGAGCCCTGGGACCCCCACGTGCTTGGGCTGGTCCCACCCTGGCTTTTGGTGACGGAGCTGCCCTCGACCAGACAGACCCCAGAAAAGGCTGAGCAGTGGCTCCCGCTGGCCCCACCCCGGCCGGCACCGTGTCCCCCAGAGCCACCCCCACACAGGAGGAGACCCCGGGGCTTCGAGTATGAGTTACCAAGTGTAGCGCATGCCCGTTCCGGGCCAAACGGCGGCCACCATCCCCCCAGGACCAAACACTCAGAGATGAAGCGGAGGCCGCTCAGCCCCCCGGCCCGGCCCCCGCGTTACCGCGTGTTCTGGCGTCTGGGGGAGGGGCGGCCCCCGGAGGCTGTGCCCTCCACCCTCCGTGGTGCCGGCCGCAGGTGCTTCGCTGTCAAGTGCAGAGATCGGTGTGAGCGGGGGTGGCGCTCTGGTTCCAGGGGAGGGGCGGGGCAGCAGGCCAGGCAGGGAGGTGGGCAGCCGGGGGTGAGGCAGGGGCTCAGTAGAGGCCGCAGCCCCGCAGGTTTTTGGCGATGATGACGTCCGTCACGGCGTCAAAGACAAACTGGATGTTGTTGGTGTCGGTGGCGCAGGTGACGTGGGTGTAGACCTCCTTGTGGGCGGACTTGTTCTTGCTCTCGTACTGGGCCTGGATGTAAGCCACGGCTTCGGTGAAGGCACTGGGGCCTGGAGGAGAGAGCAGGTGTGGGCCGGTGAGGCGAGGCCGCCGCAGGCCCGGCCTCCCGCGACCACCCCGGGGGGCACGACCTGATGCGGGGGGAGCGTGACGGCCCAGCGAAGCCAAGAGGGGGCTGCACGGTCAAGTCGGCAGTCCACGTCCAGTTTGAAAATAACGAAGCAAAATATCAAAGCTCACGGTGCCTCGTCTGTATCAAGGGTGAATCTCGTTTCATGAAACTCCTGTTTTCCTTTTGAATCTGCACCCACTGACTCCTGCTGCAAGTGTTCCTTCGTACTGTGGGTCCTACTCGGAGAAGGCGGGCCCCGGGCTGACCCGGCCTGCAGGCCTGTCCTCCCCATGTCCTTTGGCCGTCGCTGGGCGCCCATGAGCCTCCTTGGCCTCCCCAATCCTTCTCACCCTCGCCTTTCTCCCGTTTGCAACCGGGGATTAACAGCCGCCTGGCTCTGTGGCCAGCCTGGGGAGTGCCACGTTGCCCGATTCCCAGGTGAGCCTAGGGACAGGTGTTTCGGGAGATCAGCTGCTGTCCGGGGAGAAGCAGAACAGGACCCCCGGCTTTGCACTGAAGCCCCCACGAGCTCTGGGAGTCTGGGCCAGGCACGGTGGGGCTGCCACCAGTGGCTGAGGGCCGGCAGGGAGTGGGGCTGGATCTTAGAGCCACAGGGCTGGGCTGGGCTGGAAGCCTGGAAGGGGCATATCTGGAAGGGGGTCCCAGCCCCTCAGGCACATGGGCACATGGGCCTGGCCTTGAGGGTCTACCAGACCACAGCTCCTTCTGTAATCAGGGCTGGAGGTGAGGGAGAGTGTCCCTGGGACCTACAGGTCATCACTCAGACTTCCTCAGCCCCAAACCAGCCGTGGTGACCGACCCGTCCTGCCTGCTTCCACTGTACCATAGGCCACAGCCCAGGTCACCCAGGGCAGGATCCACAAACCCCCAACTCGTGGCTAAGAGGAGGCTGACTGGTGGGCATGAGGGTCTTATCCGTCTCTGGTCGCATGCTACTGGGGGCCTGGCCTCTGGGGTAGTCAGCCTGGCCTTGTGGTGGGGGGAGACAGTACTGCTTGCCTGGCCCCAAGTCATGACCCCCACATCTACTCTCAAGGAAGTGGGTTTCAGCCCGGGTGCTCCCCTGACAGGCCCGCCTTGTTGGGGCTCTGCCCTTGCTCTGTACTTTCCAGGCTGGGGCCTGGTCGGGCTGGGGAGGCCTACTTCTCCCCCCACTCTCCCCTCTGGCCCGGCTCTGGCCACCTGGAAAAGCCAGTGGGCCACCTTTCCTGGTGCATGGGGCCCTGGTCAGGCTGTCCTCCCTGGCTGCCCGTACATTCCACAGTTGGGGAAACTATGGCACCATTAACAGAGGTGGTCCTGACCTCCTCAGCCCCTCTGCAGGGAGCCCTGGGTCTCTACTGCTCGAGAAGCTCTGTCAGAGCCAGTGGGCCACTCCCTGCGTGTAAGAGCCCATATGGAGGCGTTGTTACTTACAATCACAACGATAACAGTCCCAGCAAATGTTTAGTGAGCACCTACTATGTGCCAGTTGCCATGCTAAGTTCTCCATGCTCCTAAGCGCACTTTGTCCTCACAGCCAGTCCTGAGGGAGGGCCGCAGAATCCCAGGGATTACGTGACCTGCTCTGAGCGGCAGAGCTGGGCATGACCCTCAGGTGCCTGACTCAAAGCCCCAGCTTTTAAGCCCCTTGTCGCCCTGGTGCTGTCACCTTGCTGATAATCTGTGTTTACAGATGACCAAGCCGAGCCTCCAGGAGGGAGCCGAGCGCCCATAGCTCGTGGGTGGCAGAACCAGGCTTCCAGCCGGGCTCCCCCTGACCGCTCGGCCTGCCTCCCTACAGCACATTCGGGGGGCGGGTGGGGGAGGTGCGGGGGAGGCCCGTCTTTTGTTCTGTGCTGGATTCTTCCTCACAGAATGCTGTGCCCCCTCAGAGCCCGGGGAATGCGGACCGGGCTAGGTCAGGGGCGGATCCCCCAGGAATGTGCATGGCCAGAAGCGGCTTCCCAGGCTCCTGCTGTCCCTGCCGGGACAGGGACTGTCTACCTGTGTATTCGGGGAAGCAGATGGTTAGCGGGGACTTCTTGATCTTCTCTTCAAATATGTCCTTCTTGTTAAGGAACAGGATGACGGACGTATCTGTGAACCATTTGTTGTTGCAGATGCTGTCGAAAAGCTTCAGGGACTCGTGCATGCGGTTCTGCAACAGAGCGGAGAGGCAGGTGAGGGCTGGCCGTGCCCGGGGCCCTGGCTCCCCGCGGCCACCGACACAGCTCACCAAGCAAAGGAAAGGCCCGCTGACATGGCCGACTGCACCACCGAGGGACAGAGATGGGAGGACCCGCAGGACAAACGGGACACGCTCCTTACTTCATTCCACACGCAGGCAGGCTGGGGCAGAGCAGGGTGGGCAGGGCTGGTGGGGAATGCTGCCCACCCTCCCCCCCCTGCGGAGGGCCGCCCTGGGATGGGGCAGCGAAGTCCCCCCGAGGGGCTCCAGCCCATGGAGAGGACATGCACCATGCACACAGGGGGCGGGGGCAGCACCACCATCCAACACATCTACACGGAACCACGGGCCATGCAGAGTTCTCTACCGGGGTCTCATTTGGTTTCACCAGCGGGGGTGGGAGGGTGCACGCATTCCTTTGGGAAACATTAACCGAGGACGAGGAGATCCTCGAATTAATCCAGAGTTGGAAGCAGACACCAGGGGGACAGCGTCTGGGGGGTGATCTTGCTGTGGCCTTGGTGCAGTTGGGAGATCGAGTTGGTTGGCTGGGCCGCGGCTGGGCCGGCGGCGGCTCTGGGTGAGCTAGTTGTTGGGGCTGGTTTCTCAGTAGAGTGGCCAGAAGAACCCCAAGAAGAAACCCAGCAAAACAGATTAACACGGAAAGGAAGATAAAACCCCAGAACACAGGAAGAAAAGAGAGAGGAAAAAACTGAAATACTGCTTCCGCCAGTCTTGGGTCCGGGGAGTCAAGCCAGCCCATCCTGAGGCCCCCACGCAGGCCGGCGGAGGCCACGGTCGCCCTGGACTGAGGACGAGGACCGAGGACGGCGAGGGTGGGGAGGTGGGAGTGGGAGGGGCAGGCAGTCACAGCAAGTCACCCGGCGGGGCCCTGACAACCTGGTGCTTTCAACTCTTAACTGATGGTTTCGGTTGGAGGGAGGCGCTTCATACCTGCCCAGCTTGGAGCGTCTCTCAGAATCTGCGCATGGTTTTGGCCTTGGTTTGGCAAGTTAAGGCCCTGCAGGCGGCGGTGACAACAGAGCCTGAAGAAGCGATGGTAGACCGAGGCCCGGGGCCGCCGGAGCCACCGGCCTGGGGTATGAGGACAGGATGAAACTCTCGGGCCGCCGGGCTGCAGTGGGCGGGGCGGCCGGCCGGCGGGGGGCAACCCGGAGCCCCCGGCCCCTGGCCAGGCTCCAGGAGCCATCTGCAGACCCCTCTGTGCCGGCAGGCCCCACTCCTGCCCCGGGCCAGGAGGGACGTGCGGGCTGACCACAGAGGAAGTCTGACGACCAAGGACTGGTCAGCCTTGGGGTCGAGCTTTTGCCTCCCGGGGCGGAGTGTCCGTGTCCCATAGCTTGTCCTTTCGCCACATGCTTGGATGGAGCAGCCCGGCCACGGCCGCCTCCCGAGCGCAGAGTCGGCGTGCAGTGGGCCTCACCGCTGCCCACGAGGCTGCTCAGCCACCGGGGCCATCTTACGAAGGAGGAAGGGAGAGGCTGCCCACGCTCCCCCACGGGCAGGGCCAGCGCCGTCTGGCTCCCCAGCTGCCCAGTGTGGCCGTGTCCTGGGCACACAGACATTTGCTTAGTTCTCTGGCCATGGTACTGTTCTTGCCGGGCCGGGCCAATGAGCCGCCTTTGTGAGCGGTGGTCATGTCGTGAAGCCTGTTCCCGGAGGGGCCGCTGCTCTTCCCAGGGGGCACGGGCGGCCTGCTTTGGGCGGAAAGGGCTCCAGGAAAAGCCCATTCCTGGCCTTGGCTTCCGCAAGGTCCTGTGCTTCAGCCCTTGTGCAACAAGGGCCGGAGAAATGGGGCAGGAAGAGAGGAGAGAGAGGGTGGAAGAGGGACAGTAAAGGCAAGAAGAGGAGGAGGCCGAGGGGCCTGGGGACAGAGGTCCCCAGAAGCTGTGCTGCACTCAGTAGCCGGGCTGGTGAGGAGCTCTGGGAGGTCCGGGCTGGACGGGGTGGGCAGACTGTGAGGGCTTCGCGAGCACAAGGCCTGGCACCTAACCAGCCCGTGTTCACTGGTGAGCCGAGGGCCAAGGAGCTGGGGGCCCGGTGGTTGCCAGACCCACAGAGATGTCCCTTTGCTTCACCCTGGTGCTCCAGAGGTGAGTGAGAGGCCCAGCCCCATGGCTTTGGAGCCTGGGACTTGGGTTTAAGCTGCTTGCAGGCCCGGGAGGGCAGGTCGCAGGGGAGAGGCGAGTTCAGGGAGAGGGGCCCTCCTGCCCTCCAGCTCTCTGCGTGCTTTGCAACCCGTGGCTGGGCTAGCATCGCATTCCCTGCCCAGCCCTGCTTCTCACTCCCAGGCTTGGGAGGGAGAAAAGATGAGCCAAGTGGACCCCAGACCATGTGGGTGGATTCCACTGCACAGTGAAGAGCAGCTTCAGAAGCATAGAGTCAACCGGCGGAACAGTGAGAGATATGCCAGGGCCGTCCCTGTGCAGGGGTGCATGGTGGGGGGCGGCCAGTGAGTCCGGGTCCAAGCGCAGCCCAGCGTGGGCATCTACCCACCTCCCGGCTCCAGGGACCCGAGACGCCACAGCCTGCCGAGGCCACTGAGAGTGATAGCATTACCAGAACGAGCTCCCAGCCAGGGTCCCAGGAACTTCACCCCTGGACAAGGCAGGCCTTAGGGGGCTTTGCTGGAACCCAGCTCAGGGGTGCAGCTGGCCCCGAAAGAGGAAGGGCAAGGCAGACAAACCAGCATGGGCTTCACCCCCGCCCACGCCCCCCCGCCGACGGCTCCGGTCCCAGTCTGCCAAAAGCCTCATCCCTGTGCCAGTCTCTCCCCACGGCGCGGCACCCCAGCCTGCAGCCCATCGGACGCGCCCAGCAGCCCTGCGGGACCAGCAGGCCAGGACTGAGGCGGAGACAGACCCAGAGAGGCCACCGTGCTCAGGGCCTGCCGTGACGACACACTGCTTCCAGCTCTCAGCGCTGACTTTGAGAGGCTGGGGCCCAGGGTCCGTGCGTGCGTCCCGCACGAGGGGCTGACCCCACAGCCAGGACCCCGTGACCCCCAGGGGGTGCCGCGGGCTCGTCTCTAGGGACCCCGCGGGTGCACCACGCCAACACCCAGCTTCCCTTGCAGGCTCTGCAGACAGGCCCGCTGCTCAGTGGACGCCCCCCACACATAGGGACAGTCGCCAGTGACAGAACAACCACCAGCTCCGCCGTTCCGGGCATTGCATGCGCATTCTCTCATTCCTTCGCCAACGGCCCCACGACGAAGGTACCATCGTTACCCCACTTTGACAGGTAATAGCAACCGAGGCGGGCTTGCCGAAATCTGGCGGCGAACCAGGAGTAGGCCCAGAGAAAGGCCGCGCCTCTCTCCAGGTGAGGACCTCCCTTGGGGGCCAGCGTGGCCGTCCTCCTCTGAGGAGGGGCCCGCGCCCCGCTGCCCTCCCCTTGGCAGCCACACGCCGCTCTGGCCGCAGGCTGTCAGGCCGAACACCGGCTATTTCTGTCTTACATACATTCTTGCTTGACTGCACCTGGCTTTCTTTTAGGATTGGCTTAACTCCGCTCTGGCCCGACGGCCCCTGGGCCTCTGCTGTGTTTACCGAAGAGGCACTAGCTGTCCGACGTGGCCTCTCCCGCACCCAAATCCCAGGCCGTCTGCCTGGCCGCGGGCACGGCCCCCCGACGGCCGAACCCCGGCCAACACAGCTGGCCCCGCCCCAGAGCCACCGGGGCCACCGAGGCCGAGTCCCTCCATGCCACCACAGGCCGGGCGGGCCCAGGGCCACTCACCGTGGTCTCGTCTTCATGGAGCACCTGGTCGTAGCCGCTGAGCGCGACGCAGAAGATAATGGCTGTGACGTCCTCAAAGCAGTGGATCCACTTCTTGCGTTCAGATCGCTGACCCCCGACGTCGAACAGCCTGGTGAGGGGAGACAGGGAAGCTGTGAGGGGCGGGCGGTGGGGCCCAGGCGGGTGTGGGGGTGCCTGGTCAAGCCCCGAGCCTCCCGGGGAGCCCCGCTGCAGGTGCCAACGGGCGGACCGCTGCTATCTGCCCCATGACCAGGCTGCGCTCACATGCCGGGGCTCAGAGACCTGCCCTTGCAGCTCGAGAATCTTACAAAGGGGGCGCCTCGGCTGGTCCCCGGTAAACGCCTCCTCTCGGGGCAGCATGCACATCCTGTTCCTGGCCTTCTGTGTGTGTCTGGTCATGTCTGTGGTCTGGGCAAATCCCGGACCGGCCTGGGGGGTGTTGGGTGGGCCGGGGCCGGCAGCCGTTACGTGGAGGGATGGGAGACACCAAGGCGTGAAGGGCCCGTGGTCCTGGCAAGGGCTGGTATGGTAGAGCGAGGGTCTGACCCGGATCTGTCTGCAAAGCCTCACCTCTGCTCCGTGCCACCCCTCCCCGGCAGATGGCTCCCTGATTCTGCCCCTCCAGACACCCCCCCCCAGGGGACATGAGGGCTGTGAGAGGAGACCATGGGCAGGTGGGACCATGTCCTGGAGGTAAGAGGTTGGTCTCCTACCCTCATGCCCTGAGCAAAGACCCACAGCCTCGTGGGCCTAGGCTCTGACCCAGTGTGCACAGGGACCCCAGGTCCTCCCGACAGGAGAACCACTATGGGCAGAGGCCAGTAAGCTCCGGGCAAGAAAGCAAGTCAGGTTCCCGTCCTACCGCCGCCTCCCATGGGTCCTGCTTCCGCATCTGAAATACAGGGGCATGGCCCCTGGCCTCTGTGACCCTCCACAATGCTTATTCTCACACTCTGCCTGCTGGGTCCCCTCGTGTCCAGAGGTGCAGGCTGGAGACACTGAGGAGGCCAGAAGGCAAGAGACACCTTGTGCGGCCACTCAGCCCATTGCTGCACTCCCTAGGTTCAGGGGAGGCTCTTGAGTCCAGGGCTGCCTGCTGGGTCTAGGGCCCCCGAGGGAGACCCTGAGCCCCCTCAGTCTGTGTGAGAGCAGGCCTGGGCTAGGAAGGCCGTGTGGGATCCAGCCCTCCCAGGCAGGGCAGGGGGCCACAAAGCAGGGCCTTACACAGGTCTACCGACCTATGGTCCCTGCCCTCCTGGACTCTCCTTTTGCTCTGCGGACACCCAGAAACCACATCTGGAAGGTAGGCGGGGGCAGGACAGGGACTCTCAGGCCTCAGTACAGGGAGGTTAGCCCAGGAGGGGACACAACTTGCCAGGAGCGCATGAGAAGTCCAGCTTCCTGCCTCAGGCTTCTGTTCTGAGGTGCTCTGAGCTCCCAGACTTGAGCTGTGTTCTGTGCTTGGGGACAGCCTGGCTCCTCCCAGGCCTTAGTTTCCCCACATGTACCTAGAGGCGGTGGGTCAGCTGATCTCTAAGCCCCTTCCAGCTCTGAGATTATCTGGGGCCTTGGGGTCTCACAGACACTGCTTGGGCTTATCCATCTTCATTCCCTCCCCCGCCCACAAGGAGGCCTTCAGGGGACCACTGGGGGATTTGCCCTCCTCCTCCTCAGAAGTCACCCAGGGACAGGACTCCCCTCCTTTGTCCACTCAAATCCTCCCTGTTCCTTGGAGACCCACTTCAGGAGGCCTCTTCCAGGAAGACTCCTTGGTCGTCCTGGCCCCTGAACTTGGTGGAAAACAGACACACAGACAGGTCCCTTCTTGTATCTAACTGCCTGTCCCAACTGGAGAGCTCCCCAAGGCAGACAAGATGAGGCCGAGAGGCTGGTGTCTCCCATCTGTCACAGTGCCCTCGCCAGGGTACGGGAGGCTCCCCGGGCCTCACCTGAAGTGGAGGTTCTTGAATGTGAAGTGGGTTTCTACGATGCCAGTGGTTTTGACCCTGGTTCGGAGGATATCCTGCTCGGTGGGCTGGTAGTCGGCGGCCCCAATCCGATCCAGGCTGTCCAGGTAGCTGGGGAGGGCAACACACAGGGGCCCTGGAACAAGCCAGCCCGGCCCCGGGCAGCGCCCCCTGGGGGCCGACCTGGGGAAGTGACGGCGCCACCTCATCCACCCTCCGGAGTTGGGGGCAGAGAGCCGGGGCGCGGACTGAGGAGCAGAAGCCTACGTCCTGCCCGCACATTCTCAAAGAGCCTCTAACCCAGACCAAGGGCTGTGTGCACAGTTCCAGGGGCGGTGCATTTAGAGAAGGTCAAACTCTTAGACGAGACTAACATGTTTGTAACGCTGCTGTGCCATGTCTTCATCTTAAAATAGTAGGGGCCAATAGTTACATTCGACTCTTGGCATGTGTGATCATGTTTCAACCTTAATTGTCTTGAATTATATGTACCGTTTTATAGATTAGACAACTGAGGGTCAACAATGGTAAGGACCTTGGTCCACTATGAGTCGGGGCTCGAACCTAGACATCTGGTCCACCCCTTAACAGTACTCTCCGGTGCTTCCCGGAGGCCTCTGGGCATCTGCCCGTCTTTCCAGACTTGCTGAGTCTACCAGGGCGTTGGCCCCATCTTCCCATCTGATGCCCTTGGAAGAGAGGCTCAGAGATGAGGCCAGGCAGGGGCTGGGACCCATGTCTTTGGCATCAGGGCTCTCTTTTCACATCAGCACTGGCTGATGACTATGTCCTTGCACTTTACCCATCCAGGCCAGGCACCCCAAGAAGGGCTTTGGGGGTCTGTATGGGTTAGGTCTGAACCCAAAGTGAGGGTGGGATCTGGAAAACCAGGAAGGAGGGAGGTGGACCAAGGCTGAAGGAGGTTTCGGTGACCCACGGGGCTGGCTGGGCCTCCTACCCCTCATGCGGGGTTCTACCACACACAGCCCACAGGACAGGAGCCCCGAGGGTCCAAGCCCCAGGACAGTGTGGGGTCCCAGGTTGCATGTGGAGCAGCTGCCCTTCGTTAGCACTAGTCCTGGGACATGTGGGGGTCGGTTCCTCAGCTTGAGGATGTCGTGGGGCTGGAGGGCAGGGGACACGTTCACCAATGAGGGTTTCCACTGGTAAACCAATAATCCAGGCCCACCTCAAATCCTTGTGAGGATTTTCCCTAAAAAAATAAGACCGAATGAGGGATTCCCAGGGGCAGGAGGCACATAAGCTTGAAGTCACACTACTAGAAAAGAGATCCTGCTAAGATTTGAGCCTGGGTGTGCCGGACTCCAGATACCGTGCTCTTACACAGGCCTCCAGGTCTCCTCTCCTCTGAGGAAGGAGGGGAGCGGAGGCAGCAGAGTGGACCCGGGGTCTCTGGCTGCCTCAGCGTCTCCTGGCCAGGCCCCTGGGAGTGTCTGGGCTCTGGGCTCAGCCTGGAGGAGCCCCTCCCAGCCCTTCCCAATCCTCCTAACCCCTCTGGGCGTGACCCCTCGCAAGCCCCTCCCACTGCCTCTGCTTAGGAGCCCTGCTGGTTTTGAAATGACCTTCGTTCTGTTGTCTCCAGCTGGACACCAGGACTGGGGAGCCTCTGGTCTTGGCCTCCCCCCACCCCAACCTGATCCCAGCTGGGGAAACCTCCTTTAAACAGAAAATCTGGCTCTCTGTCTCCCTGTTCTGGCTGAGCCTCACACAGGGACATGGCCAAGGGAGGGGAGGGTGAGCAAGTGGAGGGGCACCTACTGGGTGTACAACCTCCCCATTGTCCCGGGTGCTGGGATCGAACATGATCAATACTGTCCCTACCTCTCCAGAGCCTACATTTGTGTGTGTGCGTGTGTGTGCGAGATAATTAACAGTTAAGTAATCTCTAGACCACGTCAGGAGGAAAGACTGAGGCAGTTGGTAAGGAGGAGGCCTGAGGAGTGTTGCTGAGGGGAGCTGGGGAGGGCAGGATGACATTGGAGTGGAGGCTGAGGGGGGCTGGGGTGAGCTTCTCTCCTTGCGGGTGCAGAGGCCATCCTGCGGTGGTGGGGGAGCCCGGGATGCAGGCCCCGGACAGGGGTGGCGTGGCGGGAAGCACCCGTCCGTGGCAGGAGGAGGGAGCCGTGGGACTGGAGTGGGGTGATGGAGGCAAGGGTGGGGCGCAGCTTGTAGGCACTTGGGCTTTCATGCTGAGTGAGATGGGAAGCTTCTGGAAGGTTCTGATGAAGAGTGTGGGAACAAGGACTCTGCTGCTGTAAGGAGAACAGACTGGAGGGGGGAGTAGGGACACCTGCTGGGAGGTTGCTGCACCCCTGCAGGGGAGAGGCAACGGCAGGTCAGGGCGCACCACACCGGCAGCTGTGCTGGGGGCCGGGGGAGGCGGGATGTGGGAGGCAGAGCCCATTAAAGCCACCTCCTCGTGTGTATAACGAAGCTGCTCTTGGTGGAAGGAAGAGCGGGGGCAGAGCAGGTTTGGGGGAGGGTGGGAGCCGGGAGTCAGGTGGCATGTATTAATTTGAGATGTGCTGAGATGTCCAAATGGACCCGGAGGAGGCAGAACTCAGGAGGGAGGGCGGGGCTGGCCCCAGACAAGTGAGAGTTGTCCGGGTGTGTGAGGAATTGAGGGCGACGAGGCTGGAGAAGCTCACCCAGGCCCTCAGCACGGACTGAAAGAGGTTCAAGGGCTCCAGAGAGGGCACAGGCAGGAAGTGGGGAGGGGTGTGTGCATGGGGGTGCTGCAAGGAGGGGTCGAGACCTGAGCAGTCTCTGTGGGGTGCAGGAACAAAGCCTTGAGGGGTGGGCTCCAGAGAGAGGGCAGGAGAAAAAACAGTCCTAACCAGACCATGAACTAGCTTGCAAATCCCCGGCTTGGACGTGCTCAGGTTTCTGGGAGCCTGGGGCTTGTCTCAGCATCATCCAGAGGAGTGAGGAGACAGCCAACCCTGTCCATAGAGGCCTGGGTGCAGGGAGCCTGGCAGCACTGACCACCTCCCTGTCCCCTCGGGGCCCTGGTGTCCTTACCTGTCAAGTGAGAGGATCGGGCTGGGGGACTTGGTGAAGGGCTCTGGGCCTTTGGGAGCGACTCACACCATCCCCCTAGAATTGGGCCCCGAGACAGCCCTATGGGGCTCACTCTCTCTGTCACAACAAATCCACTGTTAACTATTTTGTATATGGCACCCAGGATTCTGTCAGAAAAGGGGATCTGGCTGCAAAAACCAGGATCGCAAAGCCACCCTGGAGCAGGAAGGGTTTAAGGTCCTTCTTTAACTGACTGCTGTGGGTTCCGCCCTTGCCTGCCCCGGGACCCTGTTCCAGAGACAAACACACAGAGAGGAGCCGGGTTTCCTCAGCTGACTTGGTGGGGAGTTGACAAATATTGACTCAAATTTCTTATTGAAAGTTACAAAGGGGGGTGCCTGGGTGGCTCAGTCATTAAGCGTCTGCCTTCGGCTCAGGTCATGATCCCGGGGTCCTGGGATCGAGCCCCGCATCGGGCTCCCTGCTCAGCGGGGAGCCTGCTTCTCCCTCTCCCACTCCCCCTGCTTGTGTTCCCTCTCTCGCTCTGTCAAGTAAATAAAATAAATAAATAAATAAATAAAATCTTAAAAAAAAAAAAAAGAAAGTTATAAAGGTAACCACCAGAAGAACCACAAGTAATTCCCTAATTAGCAAGAAACTGGTCGTGGAAGTGGGCAGAGACATGGGAGGCGGGCAGGTGAGCTGAACTCCTCCGATTCCATCCTGGAGGCCACTAAATACTATGGCAGGTTGGAGGGTCAGGTTTTCCTGGACAACACTGGGACAGAGAAATGGAAATAGCTAGAAGTTGGAGGGGGACAGCCCTGGGAGAAGGAGTTTACTATTAATTTTATACCTCTCTGGAGTGTTAAAAAATTTTTTTTGCAATGTATTCATGTTATAATTAAATGGACAACAATTTAAGTGGAGAGCACGATTTGATGGCTCGAGGGGATTGAGGGGATGGGAAGGCCCTGGACTGGGGCCCAGCAGGGGTAGGGAAGCCGGTCCCCACCCAAACAGCTCCAGGGGACGACCTGGGTCCGTTGGAGGAGTGATTTGAGCGTGCACCGGCCGCTGTGGGCACAACCCCCCCGGGCTCACACCCCTGCCCACCTAGGTGTCCCAGGTGGCTCATCAGGGCCCGGGGCCCGGCTCACTACCACCTGGGACTCCTGAGACCCAGGGCTCACCAGCTGGACAGTCTAGGTGTACAGAATGGAAAGATGCTCTGGCCTAACTCAAGTCCCTAGTTTGGTAGCTGTCATCGTGGCCAAGGGAAATGGCCCAACGTCCATGAGCAAGTGCCATTTTATGGGCCCTCGCCCCTGCTACACCACCAGGGTGTAGGCCAGGGTTTCTCGGGCTCAGCACCACTGACATTTTGGCCCAGATGATTCCTTGCTACGGAGGGCCATCTTACGCACTGTAGGACGTTCAGCAGCACCCCTGGCCTCTGTCCACTAGATGCCAGTGCCACCACCCGAGTTGGGACAATCAAGCCTGTCTCCAGACTTTGCCAAATGTCTCCTGGGGGCAGAGTGGTCCCCGCAGAGCAGCAGGGGTGAGGACGGCTGAATCAGGTCGGTGGTGGAGCACACACACCCTAAGACTGTGAGTTTAAGCCCAGAGGCTCCCACTGACAACCCGGGCACAAGACTGTAAAAGTGGGGTGTGGTCCCAACGTCTCCAGGACAGAAGACATGTGCGCAGCCAGCGCGGACCATTCCCAGGGGCGTGGAACCCCGATCTAGGGAACAAGGGCATGTAACCTTAAGGACGCCTGAAGTGACGAGCTGGTGTCACGGGAAGAGCACCCACGGGCCACCTTCCCTGCCTCTCCCTTTTTTTTTTTTTTTTTTTTAAAGATTGTATTTATTTATTTGGCAGAGAGAGAGACAGCGAGAGAGGGAACACAAGCAGGGGGAGTGGGAGTGGGAGAGGGAGAAGCAGGCTTCCCGCTGAGCAGGGAGCCCGATGCGGGGCTCGATCCCAGGACCCCAGGATCATGACCTGGGCCAAAGGCAGACGCTTAACCAACTGAGCCACCCAGGCGCCCCCCCCCCTTTTTTTTTAAGATTTTATTTATTTGGCAGAGAGAGAGACAGCGAGAGAGGGAACACAAGCACGGGGAGTGGGAGAGGGAGAAGCAGGCTTCCCGCTGAGCAGGGAGCCCGATGCGGGGCTCGATCCCAGGACCCTGGGATCATGACCTGAGCCGAAGGCAGACGCTTAACGACTGAGCCACCCAGGCGCCCCCCTGCCTCTCCCTTTGTCCCCCTTTCAGCCCTCTCTGGCTTCCACCGAGCCTCTTCCCTCACCTTCACTCCCCCTCCTCTCCTCTCTCCTTTCCTTCCCCGTATTTGGTTATAACGCACTATCAAAGGATATGTTCTATTATCTCATTTCCTTAGTCTTATTTAAAATATTCCAAGATAGAGGAATAGAACGTGTGTTTCCTCAAATGAAACAAAAGTGGCATCATGTCGACTATTTTCTGCCTATCTGGCTCTTGATTTGTACTTGTGGGGTCAGGGCTTCTCCAGAGGGAAAAAGCTGTTAGACTCAAGACCCTCCTTCTGGGGTGCCAGGCCCAGTGCAGGGCAAGGTGGGGACGGGCCCCGTGCTCTGGGAGCCCTACTGTTAGCTGTCTCTTGTGGGCTCCGGCTCCCAGGCCCCGTCCTTACCCAGGGGGTGCGAGGAGAAGCCCTTGCGCTCTCCTTCCCGACACCTTTCCTGCCGCCCGTGGCAGTTCTGACCTCAGCCGAGGACCCCTCCCTGCGCGCCCGCCCCCTCCACGCTGGCCTCCGTGCCCTGCGGGCGGCCGCCCCAGCCCCGAGACACTCACTACTTGGCAGAATCGTTGAGCTGATACTCCCGAGACCTGCTGAAGCACTCCTGGATTCCTGAGTCGCCCCAGAGCCGCATCATGGCGGAAAGCAGTTCGGCAGAGAAGGGCTCGGTGTCTTCCATCCGACTCACCACGTCACACACCATCTTGGCGTCAGCCTGTGAGGGGACGGGGGGGGGGGGGGGCGGCTTTGAGGCACCGGGACAGCGGCTCAGCCCTCAGCCTGCTCAGGAGAAGCGGGACACTAGACACAGTGTGCACCCAGTCTGGGGGACGACGGCCGTCAGGGCCTGCGTTCCAACCATGCCCCACGCGGCCTGAGCGTCTCTGGTGGGCAGGAGGGGAGCAGACAGGGCTCCGTTCTCCACCCGCCAGCTCAACCAGGGCAGCCCTGCTTTCACCTAGTTCAAAATCTGGGGTTTTGCAGAGTATTTGTTTTTTGGGGAAAAAAAAAATCAATGTTCTTGACTAATGTAATTTTTCTCTACTTCTTACCCAGGTAGAGCAAAGTCCCTGGAATTGGGCAAATCAGGGAGAGGGACATTTTGGTTACTTGAGAATTCCAGGTAGCTGAGGGACTGGGCCCCAGGGGAGCTGTGCCCTTGGGGGAAGGGGCATGAAGAGGCTGGTTGTCCAGTTATGTCAATATTCAATGTCAAGAGCTTAGGCCCTTGGCTGGCCCAAAGTTAAAACCTAATTTTTTTAAAAAAGATTTTATTTGTTTGTTTGGCGAGGGTGGGGGCAGAGGGCGAGCAAGCAGACTCCGCACTGAGCAAATAGCCTGACACAGGGCTCGATCTCATGACCTGAGCCAAAAACCAAGAGTCGGATGCTTAACTGATTGAGCTACCAGGTGCCCCCCAAACTTAATTTTATTAATTTTTAGTTACTTATTTGCCTTTGACCTGTGGCCTACCTCTCCCTGGGGGCCAGGGAGGCCTAGACCCAGTTAAACAAGGGAAGGGTAGAAGGGTGAATAAAGAGATAGGGAGGGACGCCTGGGTGGCTCAGTCGATTAAGCAGCTGCCTTCGGCTCAGGTCATGATCCCAGGGTCCAGGGATCGAGCCCCACGTCGGGCTCCTTGCTCAGCATGGAGCCTGCTTCTCCCTCTCCCTCTGCCTGCCACTCCGCCTGCTTGTGCTCTCCCTCTATCTCTATCAAATAAATAAATAAAATCTTTATTAAAAAAAAGAGAGAGAGGGCGCCTGGGTGGCTCAGTCGGTTAAGCGACTGCCTACGGCTCAGGTCATGATCCTGGAGTCCTGGGATCGAGTCCTGCATCAGGCTCCCTGCTCGGCACGGAGCCTGCTTCTCCCTCTGACCCTCCCCCCCTCATGTGCTCTCTCTCATTCTCTCTCTCCCAAATAAATAAATAAAATCTTAAAAAAAAAAAAAAAAGAGAGAGAGAGAGGGAGTTTGCCTTTCTCTGCCCCTCTCCCCTTCCTCCTTTGTCTGAGGGGCTGCGATTTTCCCAAGGCGCACCGTGGAGGCTGAGACCCTGTTGGACTTGCAGAAACAGTACGTCACAATGAACAGGTGTCTTCCCCCTTCTCTTTCTCTGGGAACCAAGCAGGGTCACCGTTCTCAGAGACGACAGATCACGTACGTGTACCCCCCAAACCGGGAAGGCAGTGGTCTCTGAAGACGCAGAGGCTCTTGGAACAGTCACAGGACCTCCCCCGCGCCAGCACCTTGCACACTCACGCGGCCCTTCACGGCCTACAAAGCACGCTCCTGCATGTGCGTGTATACACACACACACACACACACACGCACCTCATGGAGGGGCGGTGGGAGACTGCATTAGTCTCTCTCTCCGCCCCTGCCTGGCTCTCCGCTTCTGCCTGAGTCCATGCCCTTTGCCTCGTGTCTCTGCAGTTCCTGCCCCCTGGATGCAGAACACAGTTCCTCTGTCCTTGACTGTGAGTGGCTGTGGGCCCTGCTCCGGCCCATATAAGGATGCGGAAATTCCCCAGCCAGCCCTTCCGAGGCCTTGCATGGCCTTGCTTGTCCTGCTGGGCGCCCCCCATCATCATGAACACACCTGGGCTCCCCGTTCATCCCAGCAAGAGGATGAGGGACGCACGGAACATAACGGAGCCACCCTGGGTCTCTGATCCCCAGCTGACCTGCGGCCCCACGGAAAGAAATAATTGCTGTTGCAGGTGGCCGAGTTAGGGGAGTTTGTTAGTACTGCTGTGGCCATCGCTAACTGGCACGGTAGTCACTCTCTTACTATCCCCATTTTACAGGTCAGGAAACTGAGGGCCCGAGAGAGGAAGGCACTCACCTATGCTCACAGGCGGGAAGTGCCGGAGCTGGGACTCGACATCAGGAGGCTCCGACCCCAAGGCCAGCCTCTGGGATAAAGACCCACAGTGCTGAGAGCAGCTCCCGACTGCAGCACCTGGATGGCCGACAGGGCCTGACGCAGGGCCCACAGCAAGGGCGACAGGCCTTAGCCACAGGGTCTGCGCTCCATTTGAGAGGACTGCTGCTTTTCACGGCGAGATTGGAGCAGGAGATGCTGCGGAGCCCCAATCATACCTGGGCGCCTGCCTGCTGGTCTCAGAGGGCTCCTGCAGAGGGCCCGGGGGGGGGGCTCCCCGGCTTTGCCTCGGGGGCACTCTGCTCCCGGGCGGCAGGCTGCACGGTTTGGGAGTTAGCGTCCGGGACAGACAGGAGTTGGCGGGCCCGCAGCCGGGCTTCCTCGCCCTCACAGGGAGGTGATTCTGAGACGCGTCTGCCAGGCTTTCAGAGGATGCGAAGTGCTTCCCTTGGGGTTTTTCAGTAGGGTCAGCCTGAGAGGACGTGCTCCCAGAGTCAGCGGTATCTCCAAGACCCATGTCCCACTCCTGGGGAAGCCCCTAAGAATGAAGCTACCAGAAAGAAGCAGGAAAGCACCATGGTGTTCAGGCCCCCTCATCCTCTCTGCGGCCTGGCCCCTCACACATCCCAGGCCCCAGACAAGACACGGGGCACTGGGAGAGGCAGGTCCAGGGAGCTGAGCGGGTGCAGGGCAGAGTGGGCCCCGCGGCATCCACCTGGGCTGAGCAGTTGGTGTCAGCATTCCGGGGACCCCTCCTCCGGCTGCCTTTCTCCCAGTTTGAGCATGCACGGGCTGGAGCCCTCGGTGGGGCTGAGCCCTTGCTGGGGGTTGGGAGGGGGGTGCGCCAGGCCTGCCATATCCCTGACCTCTCGGGTCCTCTGGTGTCGGGTCTTCATCACTAGCTGATCACTCTACCCTGAAGCCCTTCCAACCCCCAGTCCTCTGACTGAGCTAGAGGCAACACAGACTATTTCACCCGTGGCAGGTGGTTCAAGAAGTGAGGGAAATTGCTGGAAATCTGCAGGTGTTCCTCGGGTGGGGAGAGACACAAAGGAAATGAGGGTTAGCACCTGGGCACTCTGTGGCTGACAAAAGAGTCTATACAAAAGGTAAGTGGGGCCAAAGCCTTCTGTGGAGACTTCCCAGAATTGAGCTGTCCAGCTAGGTAGCCATTTACGCGTCAGAGGCCTGTCTACTGCGGAAGGTGGGTGGGCAAGTTTGGCGGCTGTCTACCTGGGGCAGAAAGCTACAACTGGCCTGGAGGCTAGCAGGCCAAGCCCACAATGCCGGCCAGCCCAGATCCAGCTCCCTCGGGGTGCTGTCCCAAGATCCCGAGCCACCCACAGCTGACACGGAGGGCTGCCCGCCAAGACAGGATGGCTTCCCAGCTTCGGAACCGTGCTGGAGATGAGTTTCTGCAGCATCTGAGCCTCCCCTGGGCCACGGGCCTGGAAAGCTGGCCCCGGGGCCTGGGTGATGGGTGCCCTAGGCAGGCAGTGACTCAGGCAGGGTGGGTGAGCAGGGCTGCTGCCTCCACCTGGGGCTAAAAACAGGCCTATGAATCAGGGGCCTACATGCTGACGCTGCTCCCGAGTGCCTGGGTGCCCTTGGGAGACCTCGGTCTTCCTCAGCTCTCCCTCCATGTGCCTGCTATCTGTCCTGTCTGTGGCCCGCGGCTGGTGAACCTGGCCAGAGCTTTCCCACTTCCTCCTTTGGGCCTCACCTTCCTCGTTTCTGCCAGGTCTGTGAGAAGGGAGTTGGGAAGGGGGTGAGGGTGGGAGACACCCCCTGATCTGAGTGGAGCCATACCGCGCCTCCCAGCCAGGGGTGGTTTACAAACCACAGCCACTCTCACCTCCTTTGTTGGTCTCCCCACCCGTGTCCCGGAATTCCGGCAGGATGACTGCACAGCTTGGGGGAGGCTGGAAGAGCTCTCCTGCTGGGAATTCTCCGGGGACAGCCCAGGGGCTGGAGCTGTCCTCCCAGCTTCCTCTCACCCCCAAGGTGCAGCGATGCTGGGGGTCCTGTGCCGGCAGCGACTCCCCCCCGCCCCCGCCTCCCCCAGCTGCCCTTGCTGTTCCTGTCCAGTCTCCCCCAGCCCAGCGTCTCACTAGCCCAGCTGCTCAGACGCAGATTAGGCGTCATCCTTGGTTCTGCTGCTTCCCTTCCATGTCTGGGGTCCTGCTGGATTTTCCGTCAAAGCTGTTTGCAGTCAGACCACTTCTCCCCATCTTCTCACACGTCTCCCCGGGGCCAAGCCAGCACCGTCTTTCTCCTGGCTGCCCTCAGTCCCCCTCCCAAGGGCTCCCTCCCTCCCTTGCTTCTCTCTTGTCTGTTCCTCGCCCGGTAGCCAGCAGGAGACTGTTAGCGTGACATCAATTCTCCCTTAGAAAAAGAACTGAGCACACTGACATCCACGTAAAAGACTGCATTTCCTAACTTTGCTTGCTGCTAGGTATGGCCAAGTGACGAGTTCCACCCAATGAGAGGCCAACCAAAGTAGAGTGCCCTTTTTAAAGGGAAGTTGCACCCTTTTCTCTCACTTCCTTGTTCTTTCCATCACACTTGGATGTAATGGCTGGAGCTCTAGCAGCCAACTTGGATCATGAGGACAAGGTCCATACCCTAGAGATAGTAGAAAACAGCCCTAGGTCCTTGATAGCTTTGTGGACACCACATACCTTCTGGACATTTTTAAAACATTTAAAATAAATTTATTATTGAAATCATTATTCTTCAGGCTCAGATATTCATAGTCAAACCTAATCCTAGTGGGTACAATAACCCTCTGTTTAAACTCTTTCAGTAGCCTCTCATCATACCTAAAT